TCTAGGCTAGTTTTTGGAGCTGAATTCGAATTTAGCAACCATTTGAACATTTACGAAGTAGTTTTGGTGACTTCGTAACATGTTACGAAGCTGTCAGAGGCGGTTGACACGTACTACGAATACCCGTCACGACGCCTACTGGTTGACCTGACCTGACCTGACCCGACCTGGTCTAAATGCTTCAAGACATCATCTGTGATCAAAACTAACACGATATTCGTGAGCAGCACCCCGAAAAACCCCTTAGCAAACACACTTTACGACTTTCTAACAGGTCCCGATTTTCCCGACTTTGGGTCATTGACCTGACCTGGAAGGTCAACCAATGACCTAGGACCTTAAAATTGGGTATCATCGGCTTCCTCTCGTCACGGGCAACACGCTCGTTTTTTCCGCGAAGCTCTAGCTCGATCAGGGGCCAAACGGCAAGGGGGGGGGGTCCAACCGACCCCCCCTACACATTAGAAGCTGGCAAACGCCGCACACATGCGAGGTTAATTTGAAAACTTTCACTGTCGTTGACTTGAAAATAGTCCTATATCATCATCCTTTGATTTTTAAAGCATAGGGTCACATCATATTATGACAGCCCAAGCATATATTAATGCAATTTTTAGCAGACCGAAGTGCTATGTCCAACGAGAAACGAAAAATTTGATTATAAGGGTGATGTGACTGTATTTGAAAGAAATACTTTTTGCTAGCAGTATCAAAATTTAATTTCCAATCGCATAGCAGTAAAAGAATTATCCCTAGCTTGACCGATTTCCTTCAATTTCCTTGCAACTAATACTGTCTCAAATAGCCCCACGCTATGGGGCTATTTGAGACAGGTTTCAACTAAAAAAATATATATATATATTTATTTATTGCTACTAGTTGAACCAAAATCAGCCTATCTGAAAGCAGTTGCAGAGAACTACGTTTTTGCAAGTTACATGCTATGAGAAATATCAACTGTTTTGAAGGGAGAGGCCAAAAACGGTAAAATCCGTTTCAAATAGCCCCACTTTACAGTACCCTAGGCTTGGCTCCTTGAGGCTCTGCCCCCCCCCCTCCCCTCCACCACTCGAAAATCGGTGGCGACGTCACTGGTTAGATGATATACGTTTACCCCTCCGTCCATTCACTCACCAGATCTATAGGAGGCCCGGGCCCCTATACACAAAAGGCCCCTTTTTCGCCAGGAGGCCCCCACGATATCTTGCCCACCCTCTCCGAAATGCAATCCGCCGGCACTGGCTGGTTTTATCAATGCGAATTTACAGGGCATGTAAAATGTATGCGCAAATAATGAAACAACACCTCGATGTGCATTGTGAATCGTTCGACAGGCATGTTCATCAACATATAAATAAGAGTTACAGGCGAAGAAAAAAGTCAAACATGGGCTCGATTCGGAGCGGCAGAGACAATAACGAGTTGCATATGGCGCCCCGTTTGCAACGCAAAGCGAAGCTGCAGTTGATGGAATCATCGGTGGTGAACCTTACTACGGAAAGACGGCCAAATGCGCGGACTTGAAGTCGGTAGCTTTTCGTTGGACTGCGCTGGAGTGGTTGGACGTTCGTGCTTAAAATATGCCATAGCCATGCTTGCTGGTATATGGCGACAAACTCGTACCTACTCACCTCAACATCTACGATCACAGGCAAACAGAAGATTTACTCCCTTTGGAATAAAATAGCGAGCTCACTCCCCAGTCTCGGTCTTTGCGGTGCATTATATGCGAGCTGCTCAATCTCACACGATGAACAATTCTCGAGGCAAACATTCACCGCAAGTGTGCGAAGTGCGAACGTTAGGCACCGTTCCGTCAATTTCCATCCAGAGGACATTCAAATTATTCTCCTCCACGCCTCATACTCCTGCTCCAGGCTGGACGGGCAACTTTATCCCATGCGGAAATGCCCGTCTTGTCAGACCGAAAGGGCTGAGAAAGAAAAACACACACACACACACACACACACACACACAAACGAACTTTAGGATTGAAATATTGGACGATCACATGAAAAGCGGAACGGAGGTCCCTTTTGCATATTTACGTCTGGACAACGAGTTGCGTTGGAGAGGCCGGAAATAGTGGCGATTTCTGGACCGCAAGAATGGACCGTCATTGGAATGATTCTTTTTCAAACCGTGCACTGTTTTTAGCCGGAATTTAATAGTTACTACAAAATATTTTTGTCATTACATTTGGCTAAGAATGAATGCCATCAGGGAAGGTTTTACTGCCGCTGCATTTTGTCCAGAAACATATAGTGCTGTTATATTGCAGTTTTTGCGCTTTTGTTACAAAATATGAAGCGAACATGCATCAGGCTCTCGTCCATCCACTAAGAAGTTATTAAATATTTTGTTTTGTGTATTCCAAGAGGAGAGGAAACTATTTTATTTGTGCCTTCATTGAGAATTGAAGATCGATCATTAAATTTTCAAGGCAGTTAATCAATCAAACCAAGCATTTAGTCATTCTCGTATAGCAGTGGCTATAAGAAGAAAAGGTTGATAAATACTGAAGTTCAGTCATCTTACTTCAACTTGGCAGCAAGATCCCAGAGGATAAAGGATATAAAAAGTATACCTATCCTGTAAATCAAAGCATTTTGGTGCCTGCAAAGGCTTGCGTTATTTGTGGTGTGCTCGCGGAGTGAGGCTTTGGGCGTTTTTGTTGTGTTTATGTGGAGATTGAATATAACTGTGACCCTGTGTTTGTTTGTGTATTTACTACAGTCAAACATCACATTCACATAAAATACTCACCTAGCTCATAGGTGTACCCTGCAGAATTTGTACTTGTTGATGTCTGGAGCATGAACAAAGCACTAAAGTATCTCAATTATCATTTCCCACATTTTCTGAGCATCTAACATGGCAATACAGCAGTGCAGAGCAGCTTCAGAGAAGAAACACTTTCAATGCACAGACTGACACCAGCCACCCAATGAGCCAGTTCCTCATTTGGCTGTTTCCATGGATGCGGCTTGGCAAAGGTGAGCTAACTTGGCAACGGCTTGACGCGAGCTGTTTTTAAGTTGTTAGCAGGTAAGATTGAGTCATGGTGAGTATCTATCATATAACTGGGTGCTTCTGCTATGAGTAGATTGCAAATATGTGTGATGATTGAGGTTAGGTTAGGTTAGTCAGGGCCCTGTTTCACCAGTGATAGCAGCACGCTGCTTATACACGTGTCAAATTGGGTTTCCATGGAAACATCAACAGGCCCATTGCTCCAACACTACCACAAGTGTGACGTCAGTTCGTGCAATTGGATAGCAGCGTGGTAGCAGCATCCCGTGAAACACCGCCCTGGTCACATTTTTTATGGACACCTGGCAAATTAACTAAAAACTAGCATAACCTAATCTAACCTGACCAAACTAAACCTACACAACTACTAACTATAGGCACTAAGCACCTAAGTTCTTGTGCCTACATCTCATACCAACTCAAAATAAAGTTCCTTGCTGGAAGATAACCCTCCAGTACATTTTATAACATCCCTGTGAAGAAGACTAATACTTCTAAATCCTGAGTCACACTTCTGGCCATCCACAGAAAGAAGCGCTGAGAGCTTTGCTATTGTATATTGGACCAAAGATCATTGTCACGAATGACTATTAACACGTATTATATGATCATATCGTTGCATGGCTTGTCACATTCACAATTTTACTGAAATCCTTTTTCAAGAAATGCAAAGTTTCATTTGCCAGACACTTGAGTAATGCACATTACCATCTGCATAGCAAAGTAAAGCTGCCTGAGTTCGCTCATTCTAGATTTTTTCACTTCATAGTCAGCGCTTCATAGTTATAATCTTGCTGTTATAAGTTATAATTAATTATTCATCCCAATACATCAATAGACAATATGCAATCATCATCAGCAAACATTTTCTGGCTTGATACTGCTCGGCGTACTCTTCAGTATTGATCTCCTGCAATAATATGGCTTGTTTTTAGCCAATAAGCTCTTTTAATTTTACTTTTATTGCTGATAAGTGAGCCAGATCAACCTGCGTTTATCAACCAACATTTCATAACTTCAACTTGATCTTGCTCAGGACGATCAGGACCTCTCTTAGCCTCCTCCTGGATACTTGGGATTGTTTTCAGTCAACATGCTTCTTTAATATGCTATAAGTCAATCACAAGAGATTTAAGACATCCAACAAAACGTACACGAGTACACGAGTACGAAAACCTCCAGATGAACTCGAAAAAGGCCTTGGAACAGAGCCAAGTGGTGCTCCGTTTGTTTGTTTACAATAATAGTAGTACTGATGTATTGTTTTAGGACTCTAACGTTCGGCTTATAAAAATTGAAACATTTTTACAAAATCTGTAAGGCAAGTAATATTTCTCTGAAAGAACTAAAATATTCAAAAGCCAAACACTATGAAATACAGGAATCGGAGCGAAAAAGTAACCCAAAAAACCAGCCTAATCACCGACTCCTAAAACTGCGACAAAATCAGCACTTTTCCCCGCAACTCGTTGTCCAGACGTAAATATGCGTCCCTTTTAGCCAGGCATAGGTACATACGTATGTACTTAACGGCATTACGTGTGCCAATGCATAACTAATACGTTTCACAATGTATGCTATGCGATTCTCCTTCACATCTTTTATTTTCTTTTCTTTTTTAAAGGTGACATTTAAACGCTATAGCTATACCATGCACATTGAACAACCAAAGCACAATGAACGAATATTTTTGAGCTAAGCTGCACTTGAGAAGCTGTTAGTTCGTCCTCACGTGTGCTGACTTATTGCTGAATATTATTTGGAACGATTGTTTATCAGCGCTCCCGTATTTTGCTGGTTATCTGCAACTGCGTAATTCTGCAATAACCCCCACCCTATCAATACCATTCAGCCCTCGGTGAACTGAAGACAGAGTCTTACATATTCCTCCCCTCGGTGCCGATTGCGGGCCGCTGCACCGACTGCACTGTGTCGTGCGCCCGGGCCCGGGGGTTGCGACCCGGGTCAGTTCCCTGCGGGCTGACCACCGCGGCGGGCGGGCAGCCGCGGCCGGCGGAGCCAGGGGCTCGGCACGGGGTGGGCCGCGGGGCACCCCGAGGCGGCTCAGTGACCCGTCAGGTGGCTCAGTGACCCGTCAGGTGACGTCAGGTGACCCGCCTGTGGGGCAAGGCAACGTATCATGGCCACCACCCGTGCGTTCGTGCATATGTTGGTCAACAGTGTGTGTCTGCCTCATGACAGCTCCATTACACCGGAGCAGTGGGACGGTGAGTACCCAACAGTGAGGCAGTTAGGATGACAAACAGTGAGACAGTTAGGGTGACATACAGCGAGGCAGTCAGAGTGACAAAGCAAGGTTCAAGCAAGGCTTGAGCAAGGTTCTTTGACTGTTCTCCTTCAGCGTAACTGTCTCCTTACACGAACGGTCTTAGAGGGTCTTTCAAAAACTTCCACCGAAGAGGAGATGCCTTTCGTTGTGGAACTGCATCCTTATCAGTGCCAAGTAGAGAGTGAAACACTCGACCAACCCTCAGCGGCAGCCGAGGTGTCAACAATCAGTCACCAGAATCCCCCAGCAGGCACGTGCACGACTTATGCAATATGCATTCATATATGCTTCATTAGCGCAGGCTCTGCAAGCCAAACAAATTAGCGTGATTGATCTAATGCCAAGAATACGAGAAAAAGAGCAATACAAAGGACCCTGCCTTGGAAAGGTGATGCAAATGATTTATTCCAGCCTGGATACCAGTTCACTCTAAGTGGACACAATTTTACGAAACCATTGCAAATACTCGTATATGTGTAGTTCAGCTCGAGAACACAAATTATTCGACCGATCGTAACTTTCGGAAAGATACAATATGTTAACGATCGTTACGTAAACTGTAGTAAAGTTCGATCAGACTAGAATCATCGATGCTGACTCGGGCTAACGTCCTTGAGCAGCATAATAAAACAGACTCCTGAAGAGCCCCATGAACCATGTGAACCACTCCGAGTCTCCGTTCCGCCCCCTTTCAGCCACCACCAGCGCCGCCTGCGACGCCGTCACCCGGAGTCTACGGTCCTCTGATGGCCAGCTAAACGAACTGGCCCGCGGGATCAACCCAGAAATATTGCGGGGACAAACCATCAGGATGGCCGTCAAACGGGTGAGCTCAGCACTGTTCGGTTGTTTTAATTATTTCTGGAGTAATGACGGCACCATTTTCTTGCTTTTTTTCTCTCTACAAATGTTTCTAGGCGCAGAAGCTGAACAACGGTATTTTAATTTAGCAGCAAAATATTGCACATGACGATTACCCAATGGGTTTCAAAAGCCCTCTTTTTGTGACTTTTATATGTAAGAGCCGTATTCTGTATGAATTAGGGGAGAGTGGGGTAAGATGCCCAGGGTGGGAAAGACGCCCCACCCCCTCTAGCGGGGAAACAAATAATCGAACCTGGAAATTAATGTTCTTAGCGTAAAGCGGAAGCCTGCCGTGTTAACTGCACAAAAAGTTGCGAAGCTCAGTTAGGCAACGGCTGGCTGGTGATTGCATGTTTTTTATTTGCTGCTTTCAAAAAAAAAAATGGCGTCAAAACATTGTAAATATCAAAGAAGGTAGATAATTTTTGCGTCCCTTGCTATAGTCGTGATACATTAACATGCGTGTACTGTGTCCCAAACAGTTTGTTTCAGGGTGTAGTTTTATGGCTAACAAATTGTGCTGATTTAATGTTACTTCGGTACCTTGGGGTAGGATGCCCAGTGTCTTGATGGGGAAAGACGCCCCCCTAAATCCGTAGGCTGTCCTTCAAGCAGCCCGTCAAATCATTTATTACATACTTGTGATGAGAGACAAAAGCCGATCTGGGACTTATTGAGAGTCCGGTACGGTCGGGTGCTCCCCATGCCGGTCTCTCGGCCCACACAGCGACTTTTTGGGCGGCATCTGACTCTGAGAGCCCTCACGATGGCCTCTGTGGGCCCCATTATTGGTTCCAGGGCCCCTCACGACATCCTTTGAGGGCTCCCACGTTGGCTCCAAGGGCCGCGCTGGCATCTGAGGTCCCCACGATGGGCTCGAGGGCCCTCAAGCATCATGAAGACCTATAAGGGCCCCACAGTGGTCTCCGAACGCCACCACGGAGGCTTGTTTGGCCACGCTGGACTATGATGGCCCTAACGATGACCTCTGAAGCCCCTTACGACTACTTTTGAGGGCCCTTACGATGACGTTTGGTGTCTACTGCAGGCTCGAAGGGACTACTGATTCGTTCAGGCGATTCACGTGCCCATTTATGTCACTTATAGTGCAGGGGGCATCTTACCCAACGCCAGGGGGCGTCTTTTCCACCCTGTAGGGTAAGATGCCCCCTTTCACTTCTTCAGGAAAATGCTTAATAGCAAAAAAAGTTATCATATTTCAGGCACGAAAGTGTGATATTTTTGGAGTAAAATGATGTCGGCTTCCGTTGAAACTCCAAGTTTTGGCTTTCCGATCGTCATTTTCGAATAATATATGACATAGTTAAACCCTGGGCATCTTTCCCCACTCTCCTGTACCTACATTTCTTTAATCTTGTTTCAAATCATTTTTTACCCGGACGAATTTAAAATAAAGAATCGTCAAAAATTTTCATTTGCACCAAAATACGTTGTTAGTAGAATCGTAAAACCGGAATAAGAGCTCAAGATTCTTCAAGAAAGCTAGCCTAGCGTTATTGGCAATTTTTTTTTTGCTAGCTCATAACGTAAACCTACAGGTGCTTGGAAGAATTTGTAGGTAAATTGTCACAGTAGAGTCTTGGAGTGGTTGTACGGTGCCACAGAATCCAATTGGTGTGAGAGGCCTCTGCTCTCCGTTCCTGAGCTCGCCATGTTGACGCCCCTATCTCCGCAGCTGCCGACGCCGGCCTTTCTGAGCTCGCCTTTCGAGCCCGACCGCTGGTCGTTCCGGGTGATCGACTTCCTGGCCGGCGTGTTCAACTTCTCGACTGAGTTTGTGCCGTCCCAGCCGGCCGCTGGCGGAGTGCCGAGTCTGTCCGACGGCAGCTGGACGGGCCTGACCGGGCAGCTGGTCAGAAAGGTATGGTAAGATACACAGCTGTCAGAAGGGTACGGCAAGACACGGTCATACCGGACAGTACTGGCCGGACATCTGGTCAGAAAGGTACGGTAAGACAGAGTGGATATGGCCAACGGGACAGCTAATCAGAAAGGTATGGTAAGACTGAGACGCCCTACAGCTGGTCAGAAAGGTACGGTAAAACACACAGCTGTAAGAAGGGTACGGTAAGACATGGTCATACCGGACAGTACTGACCGGACATCTGGTCAGAAAGGTACGGTAAGACAGAGTGGATATGGCCAACGGGACAGCTAGTCAGAAAGGTATGGTAAGACTGAGACGCCCTACAGCTGGTCAGAAAGGTACGGTAAAACACACAGCTATAAGAAGGGTACGGTAAGACACGGTCACTATACCGGGCAGTACTGACCGGGCATCTGGTCAGAAAGGTACGGTAAGACAGACAGAGTGGATATGGCCAACGGGACAGCTGGTCAGAAAGGTACGATAAGACAGACAGCTGGTCAGAAATGTGCGGAAAGACAGAGAGATTGGACGATTTTGATTGGACAGCTTGGTACAAAACATCCTAAAGGCTAGACAGGGCTGACCGGTCAAAAGCACCCGGGCCATATTGCCAGGCAAAATGCAAGGAATGAAGCCAGAACACGGTAACCGTGCGTGCATGTTAGACTAAAGCTGCATTCTGCATGCACCACAATGCTATAACATGGCCGCTGCCTCAGCCGCAGTGCTTATCAATTCAACAGCTGGAATACAACGATAGTAAGACATGCATCACAAGGTTTTTGTGCAAACAGCCACGAGTCGCACCGCACTGCAAACAACACGACCACTGCATAAAGTATGAGATTCCTGGTGGAGTAAATGTCATTGCGTTTTTAGCGGCCGCCCTGTAACGCCTTGGCCCGGCCGTCTGGCCGACCGCCGACACGACTGGGGTCTATTCAACGAGCCGTTCTCCAGCGGTGTGCGGCGCCATAAAACAAACGTGTCTGCCCTTAGACAATGGATGCTTTTACCGAATGCGTACCAATAAATCAGCCTGGATGTAGATAATTGCATTGTGCGGGGAATCCTTCGAACGATTACGTTAGGCGAGGCTATAAATGCACAGCTATACAAAAAGGTCGTTTAAAGTAATTTATATCCACAAAGAATAGCTGTGTTGTTACCTGTTTCTAATTAGTCTTTCGAAACGCTTGCCGCAGTCAAGATTTATTTATTTCATGGAAAGAAACTTGACAAGATTTTACCGCCTCGTTAAATCAATTAATTTATCTTTAGCCACGTTATCAATCGAAAGTTGCCAGTGTCCTCGGTTGCTGGCTCAGCGCGTTTCTCTCGGGCCAAGTTCTGCCATTGTTGTTTGGATTGATGGTATAGTACTTATATCCCAATCAATATGTCAGCACTGAAAAAGATACATTAAACAGTAACATCCGTCAACTGTTCTAACGGGTGTGAACTTAGGTATATTCCAGAAAAGTTTGTGCTGCCATAGCCTTAGTATTTGACCTTCGATTAAGATGATATTAGGCACATATATAGATTGCAACAATAGATCACTTCTTAGGTGTGAGTTGCGGAGCACTTACCTCTTCAGGAGTCATGCGTTGCGATTCATCGTCGACCTTCTCCGTGGATGCAATTACAAAGTGCTGAACTGGAGGCACTTTGAGCCTTTTTTGCTAGGGGTGCGGAGCCGGAGCCGGAGCTGGAGCCGGAGCCGCCGGAGACGAAATATTTTGCCCGTAGCCGGAGCCGGAGCCGTCAAAAAAGGGGGCGATTCCGGCTCCTTTTTTGGAAGAGGAAAAAATTATCGACCTAGTTCGGTTTAACAGTTCAAGGCAGTAAAACATGCGGTATTCAAAATATGAAAATAGCCTTGGTATGGAAATACAGAAGCAGCGTGCACCAATTCCATCGTCTTTTCTCTTCCACCCGTATTTAATTGCATAGGGGATGTACTGAGCATTGGAGCCGGAGCCGGAGCCGGACCATTCTACTCGGAGCCGGAGCAGGAGCCGGAGCCGTCGTAAATTTCCACGGCTCCGCATCCCTGTTTTTTTTTTCATCAGTGCTGGGGTCACATAATTAGGGGACGTGATATGTTACTACGTTACGAGCCCCCCTTCCCCGGTCACGCAAAACCACGTTCGGTCAATAGGAGCCGTGATATGAGGCTCTCACGCAGGTACCCAGAGCATCTTACAGCGTACCAGACTACTCGAGCCTGGCATATTTTCGATATGCATTCCTGAAAAAACAGCATCTACCTGTAATGAAACGAACGAACGAGACCTCACAGCTGCCGAGCATTGTGTGCATAAGCCTGTGTGATTGGCGACTTACGTGCAGTACCTGATGGATTCTATCTTTACTCAATGAAACTGCTGTACCTGATGTGATGTGATCCTAAAGGCGCATAACGATCTAACGATCATGATTATTTTGCAGAAAAATGTCTTTGTTTCATTTGTAGACTATCGAGGCATTTTCGCTACTCAGCTCGATACCCAGAATACAGTTGTAAAATAAAGTACGTGTTTGTTTTTCTGAAATAATTTTTCGACATATGCCAATTTATCATTCCCGATTTATTTACATTATACGGCATAAACTAATAAAACAGACTAGAATACCTCGAAATGACACCCTACCGTCCGTCCGCCGGTGGGGGAGCCGCAGCACCTCCCCCCGTCCCCACCCCAGCTGGTCAGCTACATCTACCCCTGTGTCCTCAGGAGGTCAATATGACGGCCAGCTTCCTGGCGGCCACCAGCGGCAGGATCGACGCCGTGGCCTTTGGACAGACAGTGGGACACTCGCAGATCGGCCTGCTGATTCAGAGGCCGACCGCGCAGACCCGCGACGACTCGCTACTGGCCCCATTCACCAGCCAGGTAAGGGAGAACGGAATGGCAAGCGTTTCAGCGAGTGAGACAATAAGACTGGCTCGGACCCTTCACCAGCGAATTAAGCAGGCCAACATTAGAGTGGTAACTGGCATGGCCATTTCACCAGGCGGGCATGTGATTGTGGCCGGGCGACTGGGACATTTCTCCAGTTATGTGGGCCGAGTGACATGGTCATTAGTCACTGCAACGGTAATGAAGTTTGCCGCAGTGTGAGAGAACATATATCCAAGGGATCATCGATACCAATCGATACATTCCACTACTTTCGTGCACAAGTGATCGAACGGCATTTCTTCTTATATCATCTCGAAAATGTGTGAAAGACCTAGCGCTTGTTTGTTTCAAGCTAGGTGCAATTGCATGGATTAAAAAGACATTCGTGTTACCGCCCGCTGGAATGCATGTTTAGCCTGCGTATGCATTTGAGACACGATTTCAATTGGCGAGAAGCATTTTATATTTACACAAAGACGTTTTATAGACAAACAAAACATTGACGACACAAACGCAGTGCCGATGGCGACTGAAGGCAGTAGCGCGTCAACGAACTGTAGTTGCACAGAAGGCATATCATGGAACATGTGAAACAGCATGCGCACTGCGCATTGCGCCCTGCAATGTGCACATTGCGCCCTGCAATGTGCATATTCTCTGATCCATTTTAGCTAGCCACATTCGGATCATTTCCGATTGGCAGGCGCAGTCATGCTATTATAATAATACTCACTATTGATCACTACATGCAGAAGAGTAAAATAGTTAGGAAATTTTCCAGTCATACATACTAAACATTCTTAAACATATTCGAGCTTTTAGACTTTACAATAGACAGCACCCCGGGCAGCGGAATGACAAAAGCTGTTGAAAGGCTTCGATCGCCATAGCTTATAGGAGTCTGTGGCACCAGGTTGTGTGCTGTGTGGGCCTGATTTTCATCTCGACAAACTTCAGGGAGTACTTTTCTCCCTTCCAGTGTTTCCAAACCAAACCTTTCCAAGCAGGGACCGTACCTTTCTTGTATTCTCCTAGAGGATTCCCTTCAAAGCATTCCTTGAACCACCATCCATTTGGATACAAAACCGCACAATTTTGTGCGTAGACATCGTTGTCCTGATCCTTAGTAGTGAACTTCATTCCATTGTTTATGGCCAGAGAATTGCCAGCCGTTCCTTCGTACTTTCCGAGTTTGAGGACGTATTTCTGCTCCTCTGTGCCCACAGAGAACGGGGTGTAGGTGGCGTAGGCCGTGCCGTTCTCCCAGTCCTTCAGGTCCACTCTCAGCTGCACCTGGTCCAGGCTGGTCATCAGGTTCAGGTACTCGTTGCCCATCCAGAACTCGGCGCTGAGGTTGCCGAAGCCCCACTTGTAGCTCTGCCAGTTGAGGTTGAAGTCCTGGTGGTGCGGCACGTCGTCGCGTCGGGAGATGACCGTCCAGCCGCCGCCGTCGGTCTCCATGTCGCAGTAGACGCGGATGCCGCCGCCGTTGCCGCAGGTGGGCGGGTAGACGGTGTAGGTGCCGCTGAGCCTGTGCCGCTGCTGGACGGCCGCGCAGTCCTCGGGCCGCCACTCGCCGTCCGCCCGCTGTGCCAGCCGCGCCTCCAGTCGGCCGTCCAGCTGTGCCAGGTGCGCGGAGAGCTGCGACAGCCTCTGCTCCACAGCCCGGAGCCGCTCTGGGCCGGCCCCGATCGCCGACTCCAGGGGAATGTCGTGCGCGCCGGCGCCGGCCGCGCACAGACGGTAGGTCAGCAGTAGGACCGTCAGCGGCGTCCACATCTCAGCTGTGTGTGGACACAACTGGAGAATAGACACAGCTGGAGTATGGAGGGCAGATCAACGGCAGTACGCTGCTCAGCCGAACAGCGGACCGTCTCCAGTGGTCAACTGCCTCTGCTGGTGCCTAATATACCACTGTATGCACTGGTATGGCGAAGTAGCTGCACACATTGGAGATGTTCCACGAAGTGCTAGAGCCGAGTTATGGTCCGCTAATTATCTACAAAGTATCTTGATTTATGACATTTTCGCCTCACTTTGTCAGTAAATCATATATATTGTCGCACTTCTGGTCGGCCAGTTTAGAGATTATGAGATCAGCAAAGCAGTGTTGATTTTTACAAGCACGATTTATGCAAATGGTTATGTTAGTGATTTGCAAATAAACGGCAACTTCCACCAGACCACCGCTAATATATCTACTGGGCTAGTCCAGAGGATTACAGAATGGCTGGACTGGAACATAGCTATCTGATGGCAGGGAATCCCTATCGCGTCACATACTAAGTGGCCCGCTGCAGGGACATTTATAACACCACTTATTTAATAAATCGCGTCATTCACCTCAGCTTTGATCTCCCTCCGTCTCTGACTGCATCTGTCCATTAAACTATCCCGCTTCTGTTTTCCCTCCGTCTCTGGTCAAATACTCCGTCTCTGACCTCTTTCCTCCATCTCCCTCGCCCGCACATGGGGGGGGGGGGGGTGGTTGCCACCCCCCCAGGTAGTCTTTCTGCTCTGCACTCAACATTTTTAGAGCTAGAAGGCTGATTTTTCGTATAGCTGCTCCTCTATCCTTTCTTGATGTCCACTGAAAATTTCAAGTTTCTGTGATTTTTGGTTTTGGAGATATGACCTTGTTTTCCAGGTCATGTCATGACCCAAATGGCCAATTCTCAACATCTTGCGCTGGCTATGGGCCTTGTGAGCTTTTGACACATTGATTTCGGCCTTTTTTGCCAGTCTTACCTCCCAACTATCATGGAACATGTTGTTCGACGATGTACAGATGTCAAGGTCAAGGTCAAGGTCAACCTAGGTCATCTAAGATAATTGCGTTTTAGGTAAGCGGAAATTACTTTTTGTCAAGTTTTTTGACTACATTTTTGGTAAAAGCTTCTCAGATCATGATTTCATGTAATATGGACACAAAAACAATCGGTGCACACATAAGTATACACACAGACACACACAGACATACAAACACACATTATTGACCTTGACCTAACTTGACCTGACATGACCTCAGCAGCAAAAATCTGGTCGGGTAGTGTGACAAAGAGGTTCTAGCTGGCTTGGCACCAGAAAACAGCATCGTCATCGGTATATGGTAAGCAGCGCACTTGATATCCAACGTTGACCCAAAATAGCAACATTTTTAGTTTGACCTGACCTGGAAGGTCAATGACTGACCTGAGAAGGTAAAACTGGGTATCATTGGATTCGTCTCTTCCCAAAGAATCTTTTTGGTCCTTACCGCTAAGCTCTATCTCCAACAGGAACGAAATGGCGCGGGGGGGTGGCAACCCCCCCCCCCCCATGTGCGTTCTAGGATGGGAAAATGGCATGTGCGGGCGAGGGTTAACAGTGTCCCTCCGTTTCTGACTGTGTCTCCGTCTGTAACTATATCCCTCCGTCTCCGTTTAACCCCCAGGTATGGATCGTGATCCTGCTGTCCATGCTGCTGATGGGACCTCTCATCTGGCTCATCATACGGTTCAGAGTGTGGCTGGCGCCCGGTGACGTTCATCTAAACCGCATCATTCCGCTGACGTCGTGTATCTGGTTCGTCTACGGAGGTCTGATGAAACAGGGCACCACCCTGCAGCCCATCACCCGTGAGTGGAAAGGGGGTGGGGAATGGGGACGGATTTCTGAAGGTGAGTGGATACTGGATAAGGAACAGAAGACCTGCGTATTCCATTGGTGAGGGATAGAGAGACGAACCACTTGTGAGGGAACAGTGTGTTGCGGTGAGGAAACGAGCAAGGGGCATCAGTGCCTTGCAGCTGGAGTTCAAACTTTCGGAGGAAACTACATAAACACCGCTCACACAAAAAAGTGCCTGTCACCAACAATCCCACTGTCAGTGACCACGGCCAAATCTCTCTCTCTCTCTCTCTCTCTCTCTCTCTCTCTCTCTCTCTCTCTCTCTCTCTCTCTCTCTCTCTCTCTCTCTCTCTCTCTCTCTCTCTCTCTCTCTCTCTCTCTCTCTCTCTCTCTCTCTCTCCCCTCAGATTCGTCTCGTATGTTGTTTGCCACGTGGTGGATCTACATCACGGTACTGACGGCATTCTACACTGCCAACTTGACCGCCTACCTGACCTTCTCCAGTATGAAGGTGGAGATTGAAACGGTGGCCGACTTATACGCCAGTGAACAAGCCTGGCTCGCACCTGCCGGTGAGTGAAGCTTAGTAGCGGTGGTGCGGTGAAATCATAAATTCACACACATTGACAGTGCCATGGGCTTCTTTATATACAATGGCATGTATGCTACAAAAATGTAGGTCTAATGGCCTGTGTACTGTGTAGTATGTAAGCTTATGACGTAAGCGCGACTTGTTATGTAAGTACCTAAACTCATAGAAGTTCAAAGTGATACAACTTTTGCAGATGAAGTTGGCAGAAACACGAATGTATTCATGCGTAATGCATTGAAGGCCTGGCTACACTATGCGTTTTCTGCGTGCGTTTTTTTTGCGGATTTGCGGGTTTTGCGTAATATCGTTTTATAAAAATACACGATATTACGTTTTGTGATGTTTTTTATGTTAAATTTTAGTTAATATAAGAACAACATTAACTTTTGTATGTAACTTATGTTAAAGTTATATTAATTATAACTTTTTCTAGAACGATATTACGCAAAAAACGCAAACCTGCAGAAAACGCAAGCAAAAAACGCATAGTGTAGCCAGGCCTTTACCGCTAAATTCGGGTCGGTTGAACGAATAATGGATGCGCTCTGGTTGGACATTTTAAGGTTTTTAATACTGCTAATGAGCCATACATGTATTTTATTGCTGTATGATTATAAGCAAATGTGTTTGCCTTTTCTAGGTGACAGCATTCAGATGTTTGTGGACGGCTCAATGACATTGCGCGCAATGTACGAGCAAGGCCGAGGCTCGTTCATTAGTGATTACGAGACGCCCGCTCAGATCGTACGCAAGGTCCGCGGCGGAGGTGAGGAACCGGTGGGGAGGGCTGGTGCTGCTGCCGTTGTGTTACAGTGAACGAATTCTACATATTTTTTTTTTTAAAGCCCGCATAATGCCGATTGACTATATATTAGAAAGTCTGAAGATGATTTCACAATTGATTTTGTAGTGAACACTGAACATATCCAAAGCATACAGAGACCTTTGCACGACATTGATGAATCTGTCAAAGCGCAATTTGCTTTGCACTTGCCCGTTTTCAGCGACGTGAGCGGTAAAGTGAACCCGATGACCCATCCATTGTCTCAGGATACGTGTACATCGATGAGGTGACCAAGTTGAAGGCCATGATGATGGAAGACTACCACAAGAGCAACCAAACGTGCAGCGTCTACGTTGTGACGCTGAAGGATCAGTACTTCAAGCTGGCCCTGGCGGCGCCGAAGGGCTCGCCGCTTCTCGACGTCTTCGACCCAACGTAAGTGAATTCCATCGTTATTATTTAAATTCTAAACTTTTTTTTCTCAATATGGTAAATGACACGAAAAAATGACTTACATACCATATTTTGTGATGCGAGTAGTGTAGTTTGATAATAAACGTGAAAATGACCACGATATTCGTTACCGCAAGCCATCATCAAGATGCCTACCGAAGTTGTCAGCCACATGGTAGCCCGCCTCTTGCAAGTGAAGCGTATAAAGCACTAACGACCATGAACCTGTCTGCTTCGCAAGCTGCGAAATTTGACAATGACCTGATCCATCCCCTATCCCACAGATTGCAGTGGCTGGTGATGACCGGAATCCTTCCCAAGTGGAGCCAGGACGCCGCCGTGGACTCTGCTCCATGCGAGGCCTCCGACAGCATCCAGGGCACCAAGCTGCGCCGCTCCGAGCTGCGCATGGTCTTCTGGGTGATGCTGGTCGCATACGGCTCTGCCTGCGGGCTGCTGGCGCTCGAGCTGACTCTCTCCTGGTTGGTGCGCCGGTACCGCCGAGGTAACACACAGTCAAAGGATCCACCGACAATCTCTGGGGTCCGTCATGTGGTGCTGCACGCGAAGAGCGACTCCAACGTCCACAGGGCGTGGATGGAGCCGGCGGGGCACATGTCCTCCATCTGGGCGTCTCCCTTCGCGGACCCGCACCTTGACGGAAGGAGGTCCAAGGGAAATACGTCACCCTCGGGAGATACGTCCAAGCCCGAGGATCAGCGAGCACTGACCAGGAGCGACCGAGAGGTGATCCAAGACATGAGGTCCAACATCAGAAGGATAAACGGACGTCCGTACATGTTTGTTCGCTCTGGCGAGGGATTACAACCCGTACCGGTGGATGAGGACAGGGGTGAGCAGCTCATGAGTATATTCCGCCGGCTGAAGGGACGGCCTCGTCACCCCACCGGGCGACCCGATCGCTAGACTGACTGAGGTATGCCCCTCGGGAGTCTCATGTTCAAGGCTGTCAAATGCCTATGTCAATGAAAATGTTTTAAAGAAAATTTACGTCTGATAACGTGATAAATCATTCAAATAATCAACAATTGCTCCTTAGCTGGAAACCTACTAAAAAGAACTATGGACCTAATTTGACCCAATCTGCACCTAATGTGCACCAAATGTGTACCATATATCCGTCGTGAAAACGGTTATTGTGGACTTGTGCAATGACTGGAGGGAAGCCTGTGATCAGTGGTCAGTGTAATGCGACGACGCACACGAGTCAGTTGGAGCACGTTATTATAAACTAGCTCTAGGGATGTGATATTGAATTGTGATGGTGACAGGGTTAGTCACACAGTCGCTTCATCTTCAGTTTCCATTGTAAGCAGGACTCACGATGTAGAAAAGTAGTAAACAAGGGCAAATGGCTGTCAGAGACACCAAATAGTGTATCGTCCAATATGCAATGGCTAGTACGGGTCCACGCGTGGAACATTAACGTATACTTAGGCACACTGTCAACTATGTATGTATATGGATGTTGTTTGCACGACAGTCTATGTGAAAATGTATTCTGGTTACTCGAAACGTAACACCCTACATTCAAACCGAGTATGTTTGAAGTTGAAGTGAGGTACAAAAGTATACTTTTAATCCAAGCAACTCGACAACCAATTGCCTTCATGCCGTGAAAGGCACTGGCGGATCCAGGGGGGGGGGGGGCACGGGGGCCATGGCCCCCCCAAAGGCCTAAAGTGGCCTGTTTGGCCCCCCCCCAAAACGTCAGAAAAATTGTTAAGAAAATATACCTTGATGGAGGTTTTTAGCACACTTGGTGAAGTAAAGCTTTCCACAGCATAATATGGAAGCAATATGATAGCAGTGAGGGTCAGTCAAAAGTTGCGCGAGTGGAGTCGACATTCAAAAAAGACTGTTGTTGGCACGTGTTTATGGCGCGGTAGCTGGGAGTTGGCGGTGTTTCGCGTGGTGAGGCATCACTGGCGGATCCGGGGGGGGGGGGGGGGGCACGGGAGCCTGAGGTGCCCCTGACAGGCCCGTGGTGCCCTTGCTAGGTCTGTGGTGCCCCTGGACCCTGGCAGGCCTGTGGTGCCTCTGGCGGGCCTAGGGTGCCCCTGCTAGGCTGCTGATGCCCCTGGGACCTGACAGGACTGTGGTGCCCCTAACAAGCCTAAAGTGCCCCTAACAGACCCGTGATGCCCCCGACAGGCCCAAGGTGCCCCTGCGTGATGCCGTGTTGTCTGCGAGGCCGGTGGTGCCCCTGCGAGGCCGGTGGTGCCCCTGCTAGGCCGCTGGTGCCCCTGGGCCCTGACAGGACTGTGGTGCCCCTGACAGGCCCAAGGTGCCCCTGCAAGGCCGGTGGTGCCCCTGTAAGGCCTGTGGTACTCCGTACTGGTACCCCTGCTAGGCCTCTGGTGCCCCTGACAGACCCATGGTGCCCCTGCGAGGCTGGCGGCGCCCCTGGCAGGTCTCTGGTGTCCCTGACAGACCTGGGGTGCCCCTCACAGGCCCGTGGTGCCCTTGCTAGGCCTGTGGTGCCCCTGGCGGGCTGGTGGTGCCCCTGCTAGACCGGTGGTGCCCCTGACAGGCCTGTGGTGCCCCCGGGCACCAAGGGGGGGGGGGGTCATGACCCATGTGGCCCCCCTTGGATCTGCCACTGATACATATCATATTGATTAATAATGGCGTTATGGCTTATGCAATATGCAATGGCAGGCACTTGGTATCCCTCACTTATCCCTCATTGGGGGCTCTGGCGGGCTCCTGAGGGCCCACGTCTATCTCCGGGACCCCTAGACAGGCTCCTTTGGGTCCTTTCAGTCCACTATAGTTAGCATAAGAGGTCTCCATGCGAGTCCTATACATCTGAGGGCGTACCCTGACGTCTGAGGTACCCAACTGCAGCTCCAATGGTCTCTTATACTGGCGGATCCAGGGAGGGGGCATTTACGGCCATGCCCCCTTCCCAGAGGCCTAAAGTGGCCCGTTTGCCCCCTCCCCCAAGCGATAATGAAACATAGTTCAATCAGTGCCTGGCCCAGGAGCCGAGTTAGACAGGGGGTGTTTTACCACCTCCCGGCCCGCAAAGGGACCCAAGCACTGACTCGAAGCGGGTTAACTGGTCGACAAAAGCAATGGTAAGTGTTTACAAAGTAATATAAAGGCATAGGTCGGATGGGCTACCATTTATATATTTTTACTTTTAGTTAAAAAAAATATTCATAGTGTCAGGGCTGTGACGAAAAATAAGTGGCCTAAATCCGATGAGAAAACAGGATTTGGGGGTACCCTAGGTTTGGCTCCTGCATGAGTTGGCCCCCCCCAAAACGCAAGCCTGGATCCGCCAGTGGTGAAAGGTATGCACACTTTTGCATTTCTGGGGATAGCGAGAAACGGTCCGAGCTTATACTAATGAATGCACGTTTCGGGGAAGAGAGCTCAGCGTGTATTCCTCTAATGCATCAACTTAACCAAGGTCTGGTACCTCTTTCCACAACACATATTTTCTGCCAACACATTTTTTCAAGCTATCGGAAACATTACGTGTCAGTAGTTAGCAGATTGAAGACCGCGATTTTGTACGATCGGTGGCACATTTCACAGATGACATATTCGAACGGCGCTGTTGTAAATGAAGCATGAAGTTCGGTGGTATCCTGGCACAAATGGCAGAAGAGAGATCTATAGCTAAGCGGAAATATGCGGAAAACGCTATCATAACCTCCTAATTGCCAAGCAAAACTGAAAAGAAAATCATAGAAACATGATATCATCGTTTTTGCTGATCAAATTACCGCTTCTTTACTCGAACGCCAAATCGAAATTCGTGATGACGATAATGGTATAACACCATGGTACTATGGAAACTTCTTCTATGGTCGTTGAAAAGAAATTAAGAATATCTGCCTCCAAATTGCCCATCATCCCCAAATGCTACCTCTGTGTTCTGAATAATTAATCCATTTGCCCTATACTCGTGAGCCCCGCCGTTAAATCACGCAAAGGTCACGTTGCAGCGATACACACGTCCGGAACACCTCCGCACTGCTGCACAATTCAGATACATTTCACACATTTTCGACAAAATCCGTTACGAGCGGTGGCCGAGCTCCAGTACAATTCATCACACTGCATCCGGTTTTCATGTGAATGTACGTTTGTACCTGTTAAATGCGGTTGGTACGAAAACAAGACGTGACCTCACACGCTCAAAAAGGGAACAATTCGAAAATTAAATAATTTTAGTACCTTCCACAATTAATCGGAAACAATCATTCGTCTTTCGTTTCTTCCTCTCATCTCCTCTCCTCTTCTTTTTATTCCTCCTTCTTCCTGGTGTTTTCTATTCCTGTCCTTCTCTTGCAGAACACAAATCGCAGACAGACTTATCCATAAGTTTGACATTATCACAGGGATATTGATAAGACAGGTGGACAAACAGACCTAGAAAACGCAGAGACGGACAGACACGTGTCTTAGCGATGGTTCGGAGCGGAGTCTGTTCACGGCGTGTCACACACGGCCTCAGGCGGTGTAAGTATCGATCGGTGACGTCAAAAGATGGAGGAGTGTAGCGCTGGAAGGGAGAGGAGGAGGAGAGAGAGAGAGAGAGAGAGAGAGAGAGAGAGAGAGAGAGAGAGAGAGAGAGAGAGAGAGAGAGAGAGAGAGATAGAGAGAGAGAGAAAGAGAGAGAGAGAGAGAGAGAGAGAGAGAGAGAGAGAGAGAGAGAGAGAGAGAGAGAGAGAGAGAGAGAGAGAGAGAGAGAGAGAGAGAGAGAGAGAGAGAGAGAGAGAAGAGATAGAAAGGTGTGACCTTGTTAATGTGATGAATATTTATTCACTCTGACTGTGTCTGATTCTAACGAAAGCTCGTACAGTTCGTAAACTCGTACACTCGTTCGTACACGTACTACAAGCTCGTGTGTACCTACATTTACTGTATAAACCATAAGTGCGTTTTATGCTGAAAGGCGGCATCTCTTTGACCACAGTGAGTTTGACCATTTCTCATGTCTATAGATATGTGGTTGCCCTATGTACCGTCTTTTCTTCAGTGCTGTGACGAAGACGTTGCTGGTGTCTAGACTCGCTCAGTTTTGTTCATTTGTGCGTCACATCATGCTAATATACGAGTACAGGCACCATAAGTAGTGCGGATCACAGTGTAAACGATTTGGTTTGGTAAGTACGTGATGTTCTGCAAAGGCTCAGGGAAACTGCTTTGACAATATGTAATATCTATGATTTTGAAAATGGAGGTAAGAGAGCTGTGCAAACCAACTCAACGAGCCCAACTCATATCCGCTTCATCATTCTTTCCAAGCAACATGACCAGTAAAATCAGTACGTGCTTGGACGTCTCTTCACACCAAAGGCATAAGCGCACTTCTAAGACGCCCTTTTCTATCAAACCTTCCATGTAGTCATTCGGTAGATTGAGTAACCCCACGTGATTGAGCATGTCATTTCCAGTCTCACAGCGTGGCAGACCGTTTTGCTCAGCGCCAACTATGACCTCGACAGTGGCTAAGGGCCCGCACTGATTGCCTTCAGTAAATGGCGGCGGCCCGCGAGCGTGAGGTCCTATCGACCTGAGCCCCCAGGCGTTTATATGACGCGACATGAAACGCTAACCACTGCCCGCAGTGAGGTGTGGTGTAAGAGGACAGCCAGTATCGATTTAGCACGCCGAACGCTGAAAAGCGTCAACAGGTATGACATGGTGACGGGCATGCATGTTTCTACGTCAGAGCCTGTATTAAACACATTTACACGTGAAACATGAACGATACGAAAATCATCGACATCGTTTTTTATTATTTATTTCACTTCACAGATTAAATACATTGCATTGCGTAGTTCGTACTAAACTTCATCCACATAAACAGAACAGTTATATCAAACAAGCGAGATAAAAGTATTCTTAAAAAGAAAAATGGGAAAGAGTAAAAAAAAACGGCTCGCTGTACAGTCGGAACCTGAGACCTGTCTTAATCATTATCTCATCACACTAAATACACTCAAAACCGATTCCATCCGCATCCGTTTCAAACAAAAGAACTACTCTCGAGTCTTGATAGATAAATTCAAATTTGTTATCATTTGTTTTCACTTCTTCCTGGCCAGCCAGGCGGCTGGGAACAGAGACTGGAGGCTCAGTGTGCAGTCTGGGTAGTATTTCTTGCAGTTGCCATGTTTTTTGCCTGTCTTGTAGGCAATGCTGTACTCCTCCATTTCAGACAGACGGCTCCTTTTTGGCCTGAAATAGGGCAGAAACTTGGTCAGCAAATTACCTGATACCAAAATAATGAAGGCATTTTGATGCTGCTTCATGAGTTTTATTTATTTATTTATTTATTCATTTATTTATTATCTTATTTTAATTTTACTTGTACACAATGCATATCACAATGCAATATTATTTGCAGCGTTGAAACTTAGGTATAATTAAGTGACCGGTTATGACAAGAGTCGGCCTGTAAGTAGGTACCATCCCGTGCGAGTGTCAGGCGTCAGCCATGATACTGACGTATCAAGTGACTGAACGTCGTGTGTCATTGTGTCGACTCATTTCGCGTTAAATGTAAGCCTTTGGCCCATGCCATCTCGACTCACGTGAGCAGCACGCTGAGCATCTCTCCGATTAGGCTGAACTTAGCCAGCTCCAGCTCAGCAGCGTCACAGATGGCCCTCAGCACACAGGCGCGACCTTCCATGGCCAGACCGTCGGCCAGCCCCGTCTCCAGAGAGCGGTACATCGAGAACTGCTCGTGAACAAAGTGGCGGCCGTAGGCGCTGCAATGGGAGGGGCCATTGTCAGCAAAAGGGATAACACAGCGTCACTTGCCGGAAGGATTGCGGGAGAATATGAGAAAGGGCCATAGGACACATGGCACTGAAGACCCGTGCTTGGACCTTCGCAATAAACCCTCCAACAAAAGTCAACAAAAAGTATACGACAACTTAAAACGGCTGGCGATAGAACTTCTAAAGCGGTTTCAGGACAGGAATGGACACCAAGCCCATTATTTTCCTAACACATGAAAACGTAATCAAATACCCCTTTGCTTGATTCTGACTCTATTCCCACAGGTGTCAACTTCTTTCTGACCTGTTTATTTTCCGCAGCAGCTCGTTGATGAAGAAGATGAACGGAAACCTCATCTCGAATTGTCCTCTGGGCCGGAAAGGGATGATGAAGCCGAACGCAGCGGTCAGCGTCGAGCCCTGGGGCCACGAGCGGAACAGGGCCCGCGTCTCCGCATCCGCCTGACGTTTGAACCTGCGTAAAATAAGATCACCTGTCATAAACATCCATTACTTTAGCCTGCTGCAATACATTCTGAGTAGAGGTCGCACACAATTTTACAAGTTTCTGGTGCGCACAAGTTTTTGGCTCACGCTTTTGAAGTCTAAAGTTAATCTTATTGTTGCTTCATTACTTGAACGGGCATTCCAAAGTCGTTACAGGTGCAACTGTCCCAACATCTAAATATATGACGCATCTGTCGGTTACGTTTATTACCTGAGCGTCTGGTTGAGTGGCGCGTCCAGCGCCTCCAGGTCCAGATTGAAGGAGTCATTGGGGAAGTCCAGCTCGTAATGCAGCTGGTTGTAGGGCACGCCGTCGAAGGTGATGTCTGTGCCGTAGACGTCGCCGAAGGTGAAGCCGCCACCCTCGGCAGCCGACGCCGCACAAACCTGCAGGGGACATTAGGATGTGGTGGTAAACAATTATTATTGTTGAGTATCCATGACAGGCTAGATGATGACACTGTTGATCATTTTACACAGTGCTCAATGTTCCACGATTACGAATCAAGTAACTAAATTTGTCTATCAAGCTTTGTCTATCTTTTTGAATATGCATCTTTTGAATGCATTCGTACCGAATGATTTATTAGGTATTTACATCATCATGAAACAATAATTCTCTTTTAACTCTGTGACCTCAACTAAAGGTGTTATTTCTATAATATTAATCGGAAAACATTCTTTAGTACTATCGCCTTCCACCCAGCATTGGTGCAACAACTTACTTTGTTACGTCAAATCTCAAGTAATCATAAGGCAAAACATCGTACTCACCAGAACGATTGCCGTGAGCAGAACCATTGCAGTAGAACCGATCACCAATCTGAGCACAGCAGGTTGACGGACTCTCGTGTCAAAGAAAGGAAAACTTATGACGTACAGGACAGATAAGTCTTCACGGAGTCGGCTCTTCAGTAGGAGCGGAGACTCACTCAGCTCAGGCAGAAGGTCTGCGAGGGAATGATAACGCTCGGACCAAAGTCCCTCCACCTTCCTCCAACCGCCGAGTAGCGTTGGAACGCTAACGGGGTCACAGGACGGGCACAGCGACACACACAGCGCAAAGAGGATGAGCGGATCGAGGACGGACTGCGATTCCACTGTCGCCAGGAGCCCGAGCGCTTCTTTCTGAGCTCCAGTTGCCTAATGTGCTATGATTGACAGCTGGCTACTAAACGGACCGAGAAGTATGGATCAGCCTCGATAGGCGCATGAACAGGTAATGGAAGGTAGCGGAGGTAAATATTTTCGATTAGATTGGAATCTTATTAACCGGTCAGAGCGTGCTCCGAAGCGCAATAAGACGCTAGCCGTTTTCACGACGGCCATCTGGTACACATTTGGTGCACATCTGGTACAGATTAGGTGCAGATTTGGTCAAATCAGGTACAGTGTGTCTCTTAGCAGCTATCAGCTAGGGTTGCACTAATTGCTTATATGCCTGCTTTGTCATATTATCAGACAGCATCATCGATTTAAACACTGAAATAAATTCACAAGATGAAGATATTCGCTGTAAAAGAAATTTGGTGCAGATTTGGTCAAATCAGGTGCATTCGCCGGATAGCCCGTCGTGAAAACGACGGGCTATCCGTCTATTATCGGTCTTGGCGAAAACGGCTATGATCGGTCTTGGCGCACAATTGCTGAGCTTGCTGCTGAGCTTGATAAATGCAACGATTACCACGGTCCACACAACCTACGAGCAACACAATGCTGTGATCAACACCTCGTTGTCTCGACATCTAAAAAAGTACCTCAATGTCACATTTTCACATATCTTCGGTGGCGCAGCTGGCAGAGTGTGTTAAGTCTGGGGACCGGAGAGTTAGCGTCATACGGCATCATGCGTATGTTGCAGATGGATCTGTATGGGTATAGATTAACCCGGCACCGCCTGGGCTATTTCCGTACCCACGACAGCCTGGGGGGGGGGGGGTCGGATCCGACCCCCCCCCTGTTATCTCGAGAAGCAATGGTCGTATCGAGCCCCGCGAGGCGGCGTTCGAAAGGTCTCTACGAGACCTTCCCAAAGCACTCTTAAGATTTTAAGATTGAGGTCAACTTTCGGGTCAAGGTCAGGTCAAAGGTCAAATTCAGGGGTTTTGCATGATTAGGCTTACGGACAGCGGAATCGATAGCTGCTGCTCGAAACTCACCAAAAATGACCTCAAACGGCCTAGTGAAGGTACCATGTGTGTATAGGGGTCATACTAAGTACGGGTCAAGGTCAGGTCAGGTCACGAAAGGTCACGGTTTTCAATTTCTGCTACATGGGCGTGCGACACATGTTTTATGGCTTATTTTTCACGCCTAATCCGATGGTAATGGTTATATGTGACCCCCAAGTCACTGTACTAGTGATAAGTGTGCATTGAAAGCATAAAAAATCGTTTATGCTATACGAGGGCTGAGAAAAAAGGTCAATTTTTCAACTTTTTATTTTTGACATAAAAATGCACTTTTCTAGACGAGCTTTGTCCCAGGAATCTAGTGGTGCCATTTGTTTTCACATGCGATGTTCAGAAGTGCCTCTAATTCACGAAAATGCTTATGACGTCACCATGCCCTATGCATGTTGGAGCTATTTTTTACAATTTGGGGGTCAAAAATCAAGATAAAAAGTTGAAATTTGGGACATCTAATGTTCTAATAGAGCTCTACAACATATACTCCGGTTTTTTGAAAATTCCTAAAATTTTGGATTTTATTATCTGTTTTCCAAAAAATATAGTTTTTTGAATTTTTAGGGGAGAAAAACGCATTTTCTGGAAAATCCGAGATAGCCATTTTAAAGAACACGTCAAGGTGCGTCTTTTCATGTCCTTAATTTGCAATTTGCTTTAAACCCTGATTTTTGGCGATTTTTTAAACATTTTCCACTTTTTGACTAAAAACGCCATGTAGTTACATCACTAAAATCGATATATCTCAAAAATTTTTGGAAATTTTTTCTTAAAAATTGCACAGGAGACGTCAAATTGATGGGGGAGAAGGTGTGCCAAGTTTCAAGTAGATAACGAAAGTGGTTCATGAGTTATTCAAGAAAAACGGAGGGGGGGGGGGTCGGATCCGACCCCCCCAGGCGGTCGCGGGTTAAAGGGACTATCCCACCTTTACATTAGGTTTGAGTTGAGATAGCCAAGTTTGCGGCGAGGTTCAGAAACCGAGCTCTATCTTGGTCGCAACTCCCGCAGCCTCGTGGTGTTGAAGAAATTCGTTCCCTTCATTTGAAAATGTTCCCTGTGCAAGTCCCAATCTCTTAACCATTAACGGCAATCTGATGACGTCATTTGCCTTTTGAACGCCTGTCACGCATTCAAGTGAAGTATCACTTGATTTACGAATAAGCCAATCAGAGACACTTTTGTTATTGTATGAGCCAAATACCTATATTTGCTGCTAAATTTCCCCCACATTGACATGAAGTAAATCCTTCATTACGTCACAGATCCGATCTAAATGACGTCACGATGAAATATAAAAGTCGCAATATCTAAAAAAGTATACGATGAAAACGCGTAAAAACTTGCAGAATTCGTCACAATATCATCAGTAACATTTCCGAATCCTAAATGGTACTTTTTTGAAGGTGGGATAGTCCCTTTAAAAGAAAGATCCTTTTGTGTATTATGTCAACATCCGCGACATGCGTGGGTGAAGAATAATCTGAGTAGATTTAACCCTCGCCGGACCTATTGGTTTTCTACATACGCGCCGGCCGAGGGGGGGGGGGGCGGGTACGACCCCCCCCTCGCCGTTTCGCCCCTGGTGGAGCTAGCGCGTCGCGGAAAAAACGAGCGTGTGCGCCGTTACGAGACGCAGAGATTGGTACCCGATTTTAAGGTCCTAGGTCAACCGGTGACCTCTGAGGTCAGGTCAAGTGCCCCAGGGTACAGTTCAGTTTTTGGTTAATAACTTCGCAAAAAACGGCCGCAGAGCCGCAATTTTGGCAGCATCGTGTTCGCCGCGCTCAGGCGCGTCGAATGATATACTTTTTGTTCGGGTCAGGTCAACTTAGGGTGTTGACCTCAGGTCAAGGTCAGGTCAGCACCCCCAGGTCACGAAGCTGGTCGAAAGAGGTCATGTCGCATATCATTCGATTCGGCAGGTCTTCCTGAGTCCATTGGTGGCTTTCTCGACTCGCTAGCTCAATTTGATCAGGAGTTATTGACGAAAAACTAATGTGACCTTGATGACGTCATAAATGACGTCACGGATGGTCAACATTGCAAAAGTGACGCATCTAACCTTGCAAGGAGTGCATCAAATCACGATTCTGTGTGCTTGAGATAGTTGGAGATCGTTCCCGGCGCCAGCATAGCAGTTTTCATTTTTCCTCATTGACTTATAATGGTGAGGTCACGAAAATGACCTGACCTCATATGACCTTTAGGAAAAATCCGAGATATACAAGTTGTGAGACTCATAATGGATACTAGATCCTGCAAGTTTCATTTCCCTGTGACATCTCCTCTGGCAGTGAGGGCGTTGCGAAGTTGCGACATCTGAAGACCGTGCAGAGGTTCACTTATGACGTCATAGGTCAGTGACCTGACCTGACCCAAAAATGCGGTTGGTGTTAAAAGATGCGGCTTGGATCAAAGGTCAGGTATGTCAAGTTTCAGCTCTCTATCGCCAGCGTGTTCGGAGCTATCGCGAAAAAACCCTATGGGGGGGCGGCACCCGCCCCCCCCTCGGCCGGCGAGGGTTAAGTGTTTGAAATGGTTTTTATGTGTGCGATGAACAGCTGTTAAGGTACGAAAAATTGTTAGCTTCCGTCTTGGAAATATCAGCTTTGAAATTGCTTCTCCTCTCGGCCGGCGAGGGTTAAGTGTTTGAAATGGTTTTTATGTGTGCGATGAACAGCTGTTAAGGTACGAAAAATTGTTAGCTTCCGTCTTGGAAATATCAGCTTTGAAATTGCTTCTCCCAGATTGATAATTAGCAAATATAATTTCAGCTAATGCGCACTAACCTTAAGATATCGAATGACGGAGCCATTCAGATTCGACACTCGACATTAAACAGTATATCGACGGTAATTGGGGTAATTGGACTCATCGATTAGCTATTCGCCAGTGATGCTATTGTTGCCTACCATAGACATTTCGCATAAATACCCATCAAAAGCGTTGTCATCTATCGACACATGCATCAGTTCTCATAATCAAACAATAAACATTAATCTAATTAACATTGCCATACCTAAAATCCACCTCTGTTGTCATCCATTGTTTTTTGTTACTCAACTTTCAGAGGTTTCTTAGACATCTCGTCAGCCAAGTTGACGAGTCACCCACCACAGAAGTAGACAGGATTCTTGTAGGGTTACGATGAGATGCGCTGTGAATTGATGAATTTCCCAGCGTTGTCGATTTTCCAATGCAAGTCGAACTGCAACACATAAGTGACTCAAATTATCTGCGAAATAACCGTTTCAATGAGGTGATTGATGTGAAGTGTTATATGGTCCATAACATCTTCACGCCGCAAACGCACACATTAGACCATATACTTCGGTATACAGATGCCTGTGGTCTGACATATCCTGCCAGTTAGGAATACATTTCATGCACAGTCAGCAGGCACTTGTTTGAGGTACTTCCCCATGATTTTTCAGCATAAAACAAACGCTCAGAAAAGTTTCAGAAAACGTTGCATCTTCTCACATCGTACGGCTTGTCTTGAAATACACTAAAATATACATATATTTTATTTATTGGACTATCCAGTTAATAACAGCCGACAAACATTTCCTGTCCCGTCGGACCGCTATCCGCGGACAATCGGACGGAATAATCCTGTTTTCCGTCTGCCGCCCGCGGACCCTGTGACCCGACTGCATCCCACCCCTAATCCAACTCAGTCTTGGGGCGTCTGTGAAGGAGCACAGAGATGACGAGCAGCCGAGGAGCAGGAGAGCTGGTCAGAACGTCTTCGCTCCTCCTCGGGACAGCACGGCTTCGGTCACGGCCTTCCGCGGGTCCCGACGGTCACACATACAGGTGAGTCATACATACACGTGCAGCAACAGACGGATTTCAATACGAACATAAATATGGGGTTTCGTGATTGATATATTCAAGCAGTCAAGTATCGTCAGATCATGCACGCAATGTGTCTATGCATTTCATTTCGTATTGTTTTACCTTTTGATAATTATCAATTAAGTCAATGAATAGCTGAGTGCATAATTCAGTTACACATTGATGGAGTCTCGATGCTCTCTATATTACGTGTAAAGTGTAACTATTATCTTGAAAGTTAATGCTTTTGAATTGTAAAGTACAATGCACCGCAATCTAGCAAGATAAAACTAACGAATATCAAGGTGGCTACTTTTTCATTTATGTTATAAGATGACTGAAAGGAGAAACACTTATTTCCCTCCTTATCTCTTAAACTTTTCTCCCGTCTGCGCGTGTGTTCTCTCCTCCGTGATGGCGGTAATACCGTCCCGTCATCAGCCTTCGCCAACATCAGCGGTTACAACAGGAAAACCGCAGCAGCAGCAGCAACAACAACAACAATAAGACGCAGCAGAATCAGTTGCAGCAAGCGCAACAGCACAAAGAAGCAGCACAATCTGCACCAGCAGTCGCGATGCTCGCGCTCCGGTGCCTCCTGCTGGGCTGCGTCCTGATGACACTCGCCCTCGCCGACCCCCTGTCCAATGAAGCCGACTCCACTGACGACACCGAGGAGGCCAAGCCGCGTATCCTGCTGCGAAAACGGCGCACTACCGAGCTGCCCAGCAACGCCAACATCCGGTTCGAGTCGAAATTGACGGTGCCACAGGTGCCGACCGGCCTCTACCAGGTGTGGTTCGGCCCCGTGCGCTTTTACATCCAGCAGCTCTTCAGCTCGACCAGGTGGGTGCCGGTGAGGCGTTGTCGGGTCAGACACTCTGTCTGACCGGACCCGACCCGGCAGGGCGGGGTCAAGGTCACGGTCCGCCCGGCTGACCCCTGTCGCCCTGTTGCAGAGATGCGGGCGGCGGTGATGCTGACGGCGCTGGTCTCTCTGACCGTGGCCTCTAACCCCGTCCTGCTGGACCCCGAGGGCAACTGTCACGTGCGGATGCGCCGTATGGTGCACCGCACGCGACGGTTCATCGCCCCGGGCGCAACTTGGAAGCTGGAGTTCGGGGTGGAGATTTTCTGGAGCGGTTTTGAGATATGGGCGAGAATCCCCGTCAACTACCGGCTGGATGATTTGTTCAGTGGCAGGATGAGGGAAGCCAGGTAAATTGAACGGATCATTATCTTTCTAGTTGAGGTTTATTTGCCATTGGGTCTACAGTGCAGGGATATTTCTATCTCGCACTCCTCTGAGATGCAGTGATAAGAAATTGTTATCTCTGCATCCCTCTGAGATGCAAAGATAAGGTCTCGAGGGTTCATAGCGAAAAATCAAGAGTTCAAGTGATGATGGGTCTAATAACCGAACAACGTTTATGGATGGTTGTTTATGGATGGTTGTTTATGGTTGTTTATGGATGAAACTTATGAAATAAGAACAAACTACTCTGGAATCTATTTTTACACAGATGAATACATCTAAATATAATATTTTATTAATCAAGAATAAACCTCAACATAGAAAGATATAGGATTCCTCATGGCTCACTCGTGGAAGATCGGATATCTTTTCCTCGCGTGTTACAGAAAAACCTCGCTCCTTCGTCGCTCGGTTTTTCAGTAACCCGCTTGGAAAAGATATCCTTATCTTCCACTCGGAGCCATGAAGAATCCTCTATGTATCATCCGTTTACTGATACATCTGTTAGCCAAATGAAAACCATTAGAACAAATTATAACAGGCTTAAGCCTAAAATGTTTTTGGTCTCATGCAAAGCTCAACTAACGTTTAGGGTGCCTAGCATTCCATCAAATTAGAAAATCATACAGATGCTGATTCGAGCGCAGCTGCGGTTCGCGAAGGGCAACATTGTTCTGTTTTAACCTTTTAGCCATCCCTTTTCTCTCCGGCGGTCATTGATGCTGACTGCTAAATGTCTCGATATTCGAATACCACTGACGCTCCGCCTCCTTCCTCAGCGCTCGGGACATCGCCGACATTGTGTCTCAGCAGCTGGCAGCTGATCGAGGCAGTGCCTCCACGGCTGCCCTCAAACAGCTGGCCGAGAGCTCGCTACGCCAGCAGGCCGCGCAAGGGTCGACGCTGTTCTTCACCGGCCGCGCCGTGGCCGAGGATCAGGTATGGATCAGTGCTGCGATGTGTTTACCGTTTCTCGTGAAGCGGTAGTCAGGTCATGAATTTGGGGTCGTAATGAGGACAGCCTGCTGTCATTGAGAACATCCATATATAACCTCGATTGTGTCATAACCACTGATCTGAGAATGTTCGATCTCTGACGGTGACGGTCTTTGTGATAGCTAATGATGGACTGGTTTCCATACAATGATCCCTCGCGTTGTTTCCATTCTTTGCACCAGCTTCTCTGCAAGCAATGGACTCAAATAGGCGTGGCGATAAGCCAACTAAGTGCCGTACTATTTAGTTAATACTTAATACACCTTGTTAGGGCCTGCTATGTCGTAACATAACAGTTATCGTCGACGCCATCTTATCTAGCTGATGATTTTACCATGTAATTCATGAGCATGACTGCCTCTCTGTGTTCTATCCACCTTACTGCATGACCCTGCCGTTGGTTCGGAGTGACACAATGACCTGATGTGTTTGTGCGTCTCAGCTGAACATCTTCCAGTCCCTGGAGGCAGCCATGAAGGAGCTGGGTGTGGACGGCAAGGCATGCCTGCTGCGCACCATCTGTGAGCTGCAGGAGTCGCCGGTGGCCGAGTGGACCTTCGCTGGAGAGCTCATCACACACTTCCTCACGTAAGTGACCGCCGACGGAGAAGTTCAGCAGAAATTCCGATTGTAGTCTCGGTGCTTCATTCGCTGCAGCTCAAAATGACGTCACAATGCTTTTCCATGACGGACCTAACTATTTCCTAGCATCAAATGTAAGCTAATAAACCTGCCTTTGTTTCCCTTCCAATGTTTCTTGTTTTGTTGTCATAAGGTGCGCATTTTACGCTTACCTGGTACTTTCCCTGCGCTTCATAGTCTTTTTAACGTAGGTATCCGAAAACCAACCCGAACAAATTCTATGGGTGTATTTCACCTCCGTTTTTTACATCTCCGTTTGTTCTAACCCTTGAAAACCGCTCCGATAAACGATTCCGAGGCTGAGCGACCATTTCTGTGCTGGCAGGCCGAAGGAGGGCAACTACGACTTCCTCTCCGACTACCAGCAGGCGCGGCAGCTGGGTGCCGAGGCGGGCGGCCGGCAGCGCTGCCGAGCGGCCTACTCCGAGTGTCCTCTCTCCGTGTTCAACTTCATCCCCGACATGCTAGGAGAGGACGTGCTGCTGCCGCTGGGAAATATCACCAACAGTCTGGGCTAGGGGCTACCGCGGCAGCACGGTCGCCAATGTTTGTTATTTTATCGAGTGTTCTCATGTGCTGCTGATCTTTTTTCCGGATCCAAAAGTCAGAGCAACAAACTAAAAGCATGTCTGTTGCACTTTGTTGTTGTTATGATGATTGAGTTTTATTCACGATCGATGGCAACACAAGGCAAATTCCTAAAACCAATTTTAGTGGTAGTGGTTTTAGGAATTTGACTTGTGTTGCCATCGATCGTGAATAAAACTCAATCATGTCTGATTATTTACAAACGTTATGATGATTGTTATATTCTGAATGAACTCAGGGGTCAAGTTAAACGGTCGATGCGATTTGGAGCGCAGCATTGCAATGTATATGGTGCTTGGGTCACACTGCAGTGTGTCAGGTGTGATTGGGCCCGTTCTCATTTATTCGTGCAACATGTGAAGATCGAATGGTGTTTGAAGCATGCACACATTTCCAGCGGAATATCTCAGTGCAAGTTGATCCGCATAGGAGTGTTGCATTAAGTTTTAACATATAATGAATATTTAATGCCCCCGACACGTGAATAGCCTATGGTGTTTCACATTTCCGCATTAAAAAAAATCTTACGTGATATTGTTTGCATTATCAGCACTGATGACCTGATGCGTCTATAATGCCTATTGTTATTTTTCTACTTTTCGTTTCTACCTTATATTTGTGTAAATATTAGATGAATGTGTGCTTATAACTCCAATCCATGTTTAACACTGAAGATGCAATACATGTTGGCATCAATCCTCGTATTTTATCGTATTATCGTATATTCAGGTTATGCTTTATGAAACAAGCCCGTAACATTATTGCCTTTACCGTACCAAGCATCACCTGATGAAATAAATGGCACACGAAAGTAAATGCCACACAGTTACATGCACCCACTAACTTGGATGTAGGCAAGTTATGCTGAGTCAACGTATGGTTCACGGATACCCAACTCATTTGCTGGACAAAGTAGATGACGAGACAAAGTTGTATTTATTCCGGACGAAAATAACCATGTGGAAGGCAGTGGGCGACCACCACTAGAAACCAGAGTGAATTTTACATCAAACGTCAAAACACACTATCCACTTCAGTTGGGATGGAGACGAAGGGTGCGCACTGAGAGAGGAGGAATGTGGAACACTGTTTTATCTCGCGTCGTTTACACACGCCCCCTAAATCTGGCAGGCATCTGAAAGCAACACTCTTCTGATAACTACAAGCATCTACCAGATACTGTTGATAGAAATTGAAAAGACACAAACGCGCTTAAGCCTGACAACACAATTTAACGATTTATCATTTGTAACTGCCGGCCGAAGCGGAACAATCGCCACTCTAAAGCTTCTGACTGATCTACTGAAAGCCTTTGCTAGAATGACAGCTTCGAACATTCAACGGCCGTAAGAACGAATGAGAAAGCTGACAGCCACCATTGACACAAACACGGAATGACACAAACGGAATGCATCACACTGAGCGCAGCTGGCGGGCGCGGGGCGGTCGGGGCCGGCACTGACAGCACCCAGTCGAGGGAATGGGGACGCGACCGCTGACACGAGAGCAGGGCAATGGAAGCGACGTGTGGTAGTCGATATCTAAACATCAGACACGTCCCTGGAAACTGACTGCTGACGCTGCCAGAAGTCAGTGCCCACACGGCGCAGAAGCCTCTGTTAGGTAGTGACACTAACGCATCACACTAAGTAACCTGATTCGAAGACAGACATCGACTAGTGCCTAGAATCGACGCTGGTTTTCTTATCAATTTACCCACGCATTAATGCAACATTCATTCAGATGGTGAAACGAAACTACCCTATCCGCACCGTTTTAAGTGGGCTCCTCTTCACTTGATGGAGCTTCACAGATACAAGTGGCTTCACAGGCGGCCGTTTAGCAGTTAACATAATAATGCCATCGACGTACGAAATATTGTAGTCTGCTCTCACAGAAACATTCTAAAAATATAACCCGTTTGACTGAATCAACCCGTTGAATTTACGCTTGTGGAGTCCTGAAATTCCCAGACTTGTGTTTAGAACAGGCGCACAGGCTAGGTGCTGCCCTCTAGCCCCTGTTACTCTAACTCTTAGTTCTGGGCCTGGGCCGCCTGACGATTCTGCTGTCGCTGCTGTCGCCTCTGCTTGCGAGCCAGTCGTCGCTGCTGCTTGTCCTGCTTGTTCTGACGACGCTGAAAGAAAACAATAAATACTGCTGAACAAACACATTCTTTTTAAAGCATATTCCGTCATGTAATCAGTTTTTCCCCAGCAGCCCAACTCTTAGAAGGCTGCCTTGCCTGCCTCATCTCCGTGTCTTCACGGTCGGTGAGTTGTGCGGTACAGCCTAGCTTCAGGCGCTTTCTACTAACGCCATCTAGGAGTGGGGAGATGAAGCTTTCGAGCTGAGCATGACGTTCGGTATTGCTGATCAGTAATATAACTGTAGTCGGTTACAATGCCTTTATCTAATTCAACATAATTCGCATTCGTGCCTTTCCTACATGAGTTAGAGCCTCTTTACATTACAATGCCATTGAAAGAACGTTTTCAAGAGAAACATCACGCAGAAGTATAGCCAGTCAAACACTCCTGTTCGTTCCTGCTCAACATCATGACATCCAGTCCGTCAGTCAGTCGATCCGCCCGCTCACCTGGGCCTTCCTCTGCGCCTTCTTCTGACCCTTCCTGGCGGCGCGGCGGCCCGACTTGCGGTCGAAGCGGCGCTGCACGCGGCAGTCGAACACCTCCGTGACGGTGGCAGGGCAGCCGGTGCCCGAGACCAGGTTACGGGTACCGGTGACGGTGCTGCTCATCTGGTCACATTCGCCCCAGGTGGCCAGACGGCGACGCTCGTACTGGCAGTCTGTGGAAGAGGTTAGAAAAGTCAGAGGTCGGAGGTCACATAAGTCAGAGGTCAGAGTTCAGAAAGGTCAGATAGGTCAGTGAGACCATGGAAAGGTCTGGCATTTCGGTTAAAGACAGGGGCCAGGCTTTGACCAGACTGATTGGTTATCTAGTGGTCAATCAGAACTCGTGAAGGTTAATAAAGAATAGACCAAAAATGTACAAAGACATTAGAGCGTGACTCAGTCTGGATTTCGTTAACAAGTAAAAATAAAACGAAAGAAAATGCATATTGCTACCGGCTTCGTTCCTCGTTTAATCAGTCATAAACTGATCATCTCTTCCTGATTTGTGTGAGCAATCGCTATGTTATCATATTCCTTCTCCTTTCGCCTCGTAACAAATTACAATTTCCATCACAAAGCCTGTGACATTTGTCTTTAGAACACCGACCAATGATCTTAGCATACCAAACTGTTACATGATGAATCGTAAGTCACATTATGTTATGAGTCACATGATCATTTCCAGATGATGCTCCGGAAACATCAAACTTGGTTGTAAAAGCATTGTAGATCTACACAGACAGGTGCAGGAAGGCCGTAATAATATCGTGTATGATTTCCTACAGCTACGCTGCCGAACACACAGAGCTGTATGTCGGATAATGCGAACGTCAATGCAATTATGGTATCTGGTTAGTTTCCAGTAAATCCGGTGTAAGGTGACTGCTGGTTAATGAGGCGTATATGAGATCAATGCTGAGCGAGCCATCCGAAAAATGGGCATATACATTTTCCTTTGATGCTTCCTTAGCTAGCAACGAGAAGATAATTGAGTAAACTCGTCAATATCGTGTCCCATGTCTCTCCGGTGGTGTCACTACATTCAAAAGAAATACTTTAAAAACATCAACCATATAAATTTCATTCATGCCATGCATAGTTTGTGCATAGTTTTCGATAAAACATCATAGCTCGATTTTCATCTTCTGACCCACAGGAATAATAAAACGCCGTTCAAAATACTCCGAAGTGCCCCCCCCCCCCACCAGCACCGGCGGTACGCAAGGACTTACCCTCGCGGCAGGCCTTGCTGATGTTGCGGGTCGGGTGGCAGGTGGGGTCGGACTTCTGCTCCTTCAGGACATCGGTCCTGGTCTTGAGACCCTCAGCCGAGCAGGCAGTCCAGTCGCCACTCCGACGGTACTTGCACTTGGCCGCTGCGAACAGACAACCGAAGAGTCAATGATGCTGTGACGGATATCGAAGGGGGAGTTTATACCGAAGTCTGCTCTTGAACTGTGGCTGTTTGAAGTGAAGTTTGGAGTGAGCGTAAGTTTTAGACCCTTATATCTTATTGTATACCTAATCTCAATACCAAGCAAACCTTGTTTGTGCCAAGTTAACAATTATAATTCGTAATTTGTTCAAGCATTGTGACAGTGCCTTACAGTTACCTACATTATAAAATGCACGTAACCACTGCAAAAATAAGACTAAATCGAATCTTTCAATGTATACTGAAACATTCTGTTGAAATATTTTGTTGCAACATAAAGCAGCGCCACATTACGGGGTGTTTTAGTTGTACATTGCAACACTAAGGACAGAGCTGATAGGAACAAGAAGCTAAATCTCGTGAAGAGCCCCGCATGGGCCAGCCATACCGAGTTGACCGGCGACCTTTCGACTACCAGCGGCGTGCCACCAACGTGACCCTCAGCGGCGTGTCACCTTTCGACTCTCAGGTGGACAGTAAAAGAGTGCGCCAAGAGACACTGAGACAGTCATTTTATCAATTCCTTCATCTAAAAAAATGGCGCAAGTTGCATAAGGATTTTTTTTTTGCATTTTAATGCTTCTCGTGGGAATTTGATCGAGAAAACACAATCATGAATCAATAATTCAGAAATTAAACTGAAACAACTAATAAAACATTTCAATCTATTATATTTGACGTTGGATTATGTGGCATGAACTAAGGATGGCATCTAATTTATCCATAAATATTGAATAGGATTGACAAGAAATCCTAACAAGACATTAGACCTCGCTGAACAACTGTGGTATTTACTAAAAAAATGTTAAAAGATATAAGATTTGTAAAAAAATATCGTGCTTTTTATGGCTCCTTCCAGCAGAAATATTTAAATGAAGGGCGGCGGGTGCCGCCAGGTTTACTGCCAAAGACTGA